CCCCCGACAGCCACTGCCTCCCGGCCCCCTGCCCCGTGCCGGCGCTCCACACGCCTCCCGCTCCACGTCTCTCCCACGGCAAACTCCCGCCCGGCACAAGCGGCCGCCCCCACGGGGGTGCGGCACCTCCGGGGAGCGCCGGGAGCGCTCAGTGCCAGCCCTCAGGGCGGAGGATGTGCCATAAGGCCCTTATGTGCGAGACGATAAACTAGCAGCAGCGACCGTCCGAGGGCCCACCTGTTGTACTGATCCGTGCCAGCCTCCCTCAGCGTCATTAAAAGGTGATTGGCGGTGGCCAGCGGTGTCCCTACTTTTTTACACCAAACCCCAGAAGTTTCGCCACTCCTCAGTGCAAGTCCTTTGCGGCGCTGCTGTCTAAAGCCGTGTTTGCTACGCCGCAGAGGGGAAACGCGCTCTTGTGCTGGTTGCTTTATGTAGTGAACTAGCCCTGCCTGGGTGAGAGAGGTAGAGAGCACAAACTCGATGTATTTTGCAGGGTTTCATTGGGTCTTTTCCACACTGGGACAAGTTTATTTCTCAGTGAGCAGGCAGCTGCGTAGCTGCAGGGTGAAAGTAGAAAGGAAAGCATGGCTCTAAATGTTCCATTTCTTCTGTTAACAGCAGTAAAGCGTTTGCTAATCACAGGGCAGGGCTGTTATTAATAAAGATAGTGTAGACCTGGGACCTAAAAGGAGGCAGAACTCTGGTGACAGTGAAGACGAAGATTTGTTAGATAGGTTAGATCATAATCCAGTGTCCTTTAAGATCTCAAAATATACTGGAAATGCATCTGCCAACTCTTGGCTAACATTTTAAGTTTCATGGCCTAGGCAGAACACACAGTTTCTCCTTTTGGCTGTTGAGCAATTGTATAACCCTGAACTAACTTAGTACCTATATCTCAATTACATAATTCTATGAACTCTGCACAAGTGGTGTTTTTTAAACTCAGACAGAAAGTTTATTAATAGAAGTATTTCACTTACCAGCTTACAGTTCTGTGGATTTTAGTATCCTGTGAAATTTTATTTACAAGTCAGTATAATGGATTCTTTAGAACAAAATAATACAGAGAACAGTAGCAAAGTTCACAGTAAAATTTAATTCATAACACATTGTAAATTCCCACAATGTCCTCCTAAGAGTTTGTAAGAATTCAGCCCAAATTTTCCCAGTGGAAATTTCACTTCCACTGTAAGTGAAACCTTGAGAATTATCAGCTGTTATAATTCTCTACTATGAACAATATAATCACAGATATATGCTTTCTGATTATTCCATATTAGGTGATGACATTGGATTGGAGAGCCAATCTTTGGAAGACTGGCAACATGAAAGAGAGAATGAGCACTCTTTGGAGTTTTGAGCTGGAAAATCTGCTTTGACTCCAGGGTGTCTGATCTACTTGCTGAATAAAGTATTGAAAAATCCTTTTAATTTTTCCCCGTTAAATCACATAATTTAAGTTTTGGGTTTTTTACTATTTTCTCACTGAAAAAAAAAAAATCTTTGGTTTAGTCTAGTTGTGGTTAAAATTTTTGTTTTGTCTTGTTTTTCCCTATTGCAGTGGTACATCTACTTAACAGTCTCTAGGCATCGTAGAATAATTTATGCTGGAAGGGACCTTTAGAGGTTACCTTACCCCCTACTTAAAGGAGGTCCAAGTCAATGAGGTTACTTGGAAACTTCAGTTCCAAATTAATTTTCACATTACAGTCTATAATTTCAAACTGAATACTCAAATTGTGTTAGCTCAATATGCCACAAATCAAGCAGGTTTTTTAGAGAAGGCTGTTACTTTTGGACTCTACACAGAGAAACAAATGATATGGCTATACTGGAATAAAAGCATCTCACAATATAAAGTAGTCAATCAAGAAATCCGAAACTGCTGCCATTTATTTCCTTCAGTAACTGGAATGAGAAAGGCAGCTGTATGCAATTCTAGTACTTTTCCCATAGAATTGCAGTGCATGTAATTAAATCTGATAGCAAAAGAAACTTAATACAGCACTGCTGCCAGGAGACACTAGTCCATATTAATATTTGACAGGAATATACATACAGCAATACTGCTTAATCTGTAATTCAAGAGCTAACAATCAGTCCTCTCAGCCTAAATTCAGAGGATGTTTAGTGACAAGTACTAGTCTTTTTCTTCTCAGCTTCAATTAACACATTTGGCATGTTTTAAAAAATTAAGAATTCATATAGGTGAATGAGAAGCAAAGCTGCTGTTACACACAAATCACATTCTTATGCTTTTATAAATATATATAGTTTCTTGCTGTTTGCAAGTGAAAAAAACCTCGTTTTGAGGTTCTTTGGTTTGGTTTTTGGTTTAGTTTTGTTTTTCTATTTGGCTGTACTCTATAAAAGCAGCCAGGATGCCTGAGGGAAGAAAATCTAATTTGGAGCAAATGGATTTATAGGTTGCAACTATATGAGAGGTTTCAGCATCACCACCAAAGAGTGAAAGAAGTATAAAAACATGATCTTATATAGAGTAAAAAATACTGAGGTTTGGAACATATTTGGCTAAATATTCCAACTGGAAAAGGTAAATGCATGGAAACACAATTATGGCAATATAAACTATAACAGAAGTATGGGCTGTCTTGAAGTGGTTACACAAAAAAAATTAAGGAAGTACTCCAAACAACAATAACAAAACCACTCATGTTCAAAGAAAAGTTACTGCACTAGCTAACTGCCTCCAGAACAAGTTCACTACTATAAAGACACTACTGGAATTAGTTTTTGTTATTAGTTCTCTGATCTGAGATTGTTGAATGGGTATTTACTGCATCAATATTGGTAGAGCCATGCAAGTAATGAAGATTTTGTGAATGTCTTTGGAAATCAGCCAAGATGGGAAGAGGAGTCCAAAAGGAGACTGGTGGTTATTTCTAGAAAAGAGGAGTGAAAAGCCTCGATAGCAGAACAGGCAGCTTGGAGAAACCATTAACTGCCAGGGCCCTGATAACACTTTCCTGATACACTACAAGCTCAAACGTACTTGAAGGGCCAGGGTAATGAAAATAAAGTGTTTGAATGTGTAATAAAGAGTGAAGGTATTTTCATGTTATTTCCAACAGTATTTATCTCCTCTTTTCTAAATTGAAAATCTGGGTTAGCTTTAGCATGTAGAGATGCTATTCCCATGGATGATTTCATACCAGCTTCTCCCTGTACCTCTTTCCTGATGCACTGAGCGATGGGGAGCCCTTGTGTACAACTGAACGTACTTGGGCACTTTAGACATTATGCCCAGATTGCAGACATTTCACTGAACTACTAGTTTGTTTTTTCACAGTCATTTGATGTTTGGAATATTTTGGCAAGTCTTCTAAATCACACTTTCAGTCTCCTTTTTATACTTTAGATTTGAAGACTGACACCAGAATATGTGACTAGTTATATTGGGTTTGGGTTTTTTGGTTTTTTTCTTTTGTAGGCAAAACCAGAGGATTTTCTTTTTTCTGTTTTCTGTTAGTAATTGTATGTTGACAGTGATTCTGTCTTAGCTGTTTAACCCAATTCTTCTTGTTCCAAGCCTGTATGTAGGACTCCATAGTTTTAAAAAGAGCTGTTGAGCTGAAACTGAGCAGCAGGGAGCAGTTACTGTTTTCTGGCTGTCTGACGGGGTCCTTAGAAGCTGCTCTGGCCAGAGCAGTGCGTCTCGTACCCAGCATTAGCATGAAGCGAACAGGCCGGGCCGTGCCCGGGCCGTCATTGCCCTCAGGGGCTCCAGCACACCGAACGTGCCTAACATTTCTTCCTTCCCCAGCAGGGGAGCAGGGGATGCATCCCTTCAAGCCTAGGTTAGACAGGGCTGGAAGCAGCCTTGTCTAATGGAAGGCATCTCTGCCCATGGCAGGGGGTTGAAACTAGATAGATAAGTTTTCAAGGTTCCTTCCCAACCCAAGTCATTGTACGAATTCTTTGCTTCTCTCTTGCTGTGGAGGCAGAAGCGGCCAGCGCCAGCTGTGCCCTGGCCCCATTACCAAGGACAAGGGACCGAGTTGACCAGTTTTCAACTTTTTTAAATCGGTGGCTTAATCTCCATGTGACGGTATCAGAAGATGCCCCCCTTCGGGCCACAGAGTCCCCTTCGCTCTCTCTGGCGGTGATGTCCCGCCTGCCGGGCCCCCGGGCTGCCGCGAAGCGAGGCCAGTCGAGGGCGGGAAGAGCCGCGGGAAAAGGCCGGGGCGTCAGCGAGTGGGGCCGCGCCAAGGCTCCGGAGCTGCCCCTCCCTTTCCTCGCGGGTCCGTGACGCGGCCCCGGAAGGCGCCGCCGTCACTTCCCCGGCCGCCATCTTGTNTCCGTGTGCGCGGCCTGCCTGCCCCGAGCGCCGACCCGCCATGGCCAACAACAGCCCCGCGGTGGCGAACTGCCAGGGGCAGCAGGCGGCCCAGCACCCGCCCGGCGCCGTCCCGCCCGTGCAGCAGCCGCTGCAGAGCGGGGGCCCCAAGCCGGCGGCCTCGGGCAAGCAGGGCAACGTGCTACCGCTGTGGGGCAACGAAAAGACCATGAACCTGAACCCCATGATCCTCACCAACATCCTCTCGTCGCCCTACTTCAAGGTGCAGCTCTACGAGCTCAAGACCTACCACGAAGTGGTGGACGAAATCTATTTCAAGGTGAGCCCGCGGGCCGCGCTGGCGCCGGGCCCGGTTTGCTTGCGGCCCGCGCCTTTTCGTCCCTTATCTTGCGGTTAGGGGTGGGGGTAAACGGTGGTTCTGTTGCTGAGCTGGAGGAATCCAGGGCTCAGCCCTCTCTGCCTCACCAAGGAGGCGTGTTCCGCGTTGGATTTGGAATTGCGGAGCTGTAAATTGGGTTTGAAGGGGGCAGCGTGAGCCGGGGAGGTGGGGGTGAAATGGCCGTCTGAGGACTGCGCCTTCAGCCGGAGAGAGCGGGTAGGGCGCAGATCTGCTGCTGCTGCCAGAGACCGGCCCTCCCCGCAGCGCGGAGCCGCCAGCACGCCGTGTAACCACACAGAAGGGATGGTGGTGACCGTAGGTGTCTGCGTGTGGCTTTCATTCTCCGTTCCAGGTTAGAATTCCCTCCTCCAAAACTGAACTTATAACTTCACGAGTTCGTTTTAGCGTTCTTCTCTTTGGCGTTAGGTAGGACGTGCTGGGGAGATGAATGATCTGTATCAGGGCACCTATGTCTCGGTTCTTGTTTTGTTAGCAGGATTGAATCAGTTTTGCACCGAGGCTTCCATCAAGCCACTCTCCCAGGTAGAGGTATGCATAATTAATGCTAATCAACGCAGCCACTTTCTTTGTTCTGATAACGACACCAAAATTTAGATAATTCAAGCTTAGATAATTCAATTAGTCACCTATGTTTTGGTCGTTATTGGCGTATTTTCTCAGTTGAATTGATTTTGCTTGGTAATGTTATTGTGTCAGCTAGTAGGTTTCAGTATATTTGAAATAAATAAAATAAAAAGCAAAGGTAGCCTTTTTGCTTCATTTATCCAAGCCAAATTCAGTTACTTAAGGCTCTATAATTGTGAAAAACAACTCCACCACAGTATTTTGATATTTTTAGCAGTTTGCACTTACTTATGCTACTGCTTTTTCACGTAAAGATAGCATTTCTCTGCTTGTGCTCTGCCATTTGGAGCTGATTACTTATTTCTCCTAATGCTTAGTGTAACAGATTGTCGGCAGCATCTCTCCAGTTAATTTACTACATGCTGCGTGTGTGAGAGACTCATGACTATCTGAATAGAAAGTAGCAGAGTTTACTTCCACAACTGATTTTTAGAGATGAAAAAATGATGAAAGAAACATATTTCCAGAAAACTTGAGCACTTACTCTATTTTTAAAGTGAACCCCTACAGATGCACTGAAAATATTTGGTGCAATTCATCATCTTTGTACTGGTAGAGCTCAACAGCAGTAGGTCAGTTCATTTGCTTGACCTACTGTTTCATTCCAAAAATGGTTTTATCTTACATTTGGGAAGAATTTTGACATGCCATTAAAAATCTGCATATTGATCTGATTTGTTTACTGAACTTGACAGTTAGTGACTCAAAACTGCATGCTAAATAAAGAGGAAACTCGCCCCCCTACTCAAGAGTAATGGCTGTGAGGGAGAAGATAACCTGATGGTTAAGCTACTTCATTGATATTAAGAAGATTTGAATTCCCTGCATGTTTTAAGATTCCTGAATAATTGCTGTAGGGTTTTTTGTTAGTTGTTGGTTTGGTTTGTTTTGGTGTTTGTTTTATTTAATGAAGATGATACCTGTCATAGCAGCTGTATTTTCAAGTGTATTTGTCTGTCCAAGAAACAAGTGGCTTTTCTAGAAAATTTTAGAATGATGGGTGCTGGTTTATCAGGAAAAGTGATTGTAAGTCACACAGGCAGCTAGTGATAAGGACCATCTTTGAAGATATGGATTTTGTCCAGATAATTGAATTAATTGATTCATAATTCTGGGCTTCTGTTTCAGTTCTGTATCTTTGAAGTGCAGGACTTCCTCTTTCTTTATCCCTGACTGTAACACCATGTGCATGTCCTCAGCTTCATTTAATCTGTGTATTTCCAACAAGTTAAGCATACAAAACAGTCTTTCTGGGATCAAAACTTTCAATACTCCTTTTTGAAATTAATATTGTTTTTAGGGTTTTGTTGTTTGTTTTGATACTTGTCAAAACCAACATGTTTATGTTGACTGTTACTTAAAACGTTGAAGATTGCCATTTGTGATAGTGTTATGCTTGATCCTTTGACTAAAAAATACTTTTCATTTGCTATGAGAGGCAATATATAACCAGGATATGCAGTATTATTTACGTAGTATTTCTGAACTTCTCATGCTAACAGTACAGGAAGTCATAGTGGATTTTGAATTCTACAGTATTGGTATCTCTCATATTTCCTGTTTGGCAAAGACAGCAACTGTAAAAAACCCAAACAAACAGTTCAGCAACTTCTGCTGTTAGTGTTTTTCCGATTTCGTGTGATCGTGTATATAGTTGGTTTTATTGCATATTTTGTTAAACAATCCTTATGGTGCAGCACCATTGTATCTTTTTTTTGTCTTTTATATATATTTTAAGTTGATGTGTTTAGGAAATATACTTGTTTATTGAGCCAGATATTGCTTCTCTGAATTTCAGAATTTCAAGTGTAGGATAGACAGTTATTTGGTTCTGAGCTTGTTTATTACTCTTATTGTCAAGTTTTGGGAATGGTGTTAACTGTGTATGTGTGCTCATCCCTAAATGTATATCACAAGATTTGTCTTGGGCGAATTTTATTTGTTTGTACTTAGGAATTATTTTTTCTAAGAACATCATTGTAGTCTAAGAAAAAAACCATTGACTTTATGTTAAAATACTACCCTTGAGAATTATATTTCTTTTGTCCTAGTAGTAAGTGATAAAGGAAAGAAATCTCTAGTGAAGTTCAGAAATGAGACTTAGGAATATGAGACTGTATATTTTGAATTTTGTAGCTGTCATCAGCAGTTACCACTAAACTTGTAAGGAGATGGTTTAAATAAAGGCAGTTGTTTAATCACCCAAGGAGATAGTAATGATGGGGTTTAGTCATAAATTATTTGAAAGTACATTGAGTATAGAATAAGCATGGATGTTTCCTTTGGGGTTATGGGATTTTTGTTTTAAATTTCATTCAAGATTTTGGCTGTAATTTCTTAATGTGGTAATTAAAAAAGCCAAGTGCTCTGGTTTAATGACAGATCAGACTTGATCTTGAATTTGCTGGAAGACAGTCTTTTAAGATTGGTTTGGGATATCCATTGTTAAATCATGCTTGTGTAGTCACCTAAACATTATGGAGGTTGTAATTGTAATTTTCTTTCTTTCCACCCTCTCCTTCCTGTCCTCACCCTTTCAGGTTACACATGTTGAACCATGGGAAAAGGGCAGCAGAAAAACAGCAGGCCAGACAGGGATGTGTGGAGGGGTAAGTAGAAGTACGTGCGTTCTTAAATTTTTCTGTCTGGTAAATAACTTTCCACAGCATAGATAAAAGTCTCTAGATATAAAATATTCATTACAAAGAGTAGATACATTCTTCTCACTTCAAAAACTGTGGATGTAAGTAGTGTTACTTCTTCCGCATCTTTGCAGATTTAGATTTTATCCTGTGTTAGTTCTCATAGTCTTTTGTAGGTTTGGGATAATGTCTTGATGACTTCCTGCATCCTCACCTATCTTTCTGCTTTTGAAAGGTGCGTGGTGTTGGAACCGGAGGAATTGTGTCTACTGCTTTTTGTCTGCTCTACAAATTATTTACGCTGAAGCTCACTCGTAAGCAAGTGATGGGCCTTATCACTCATACAGACTCCCCATATATTAGGGCTCTTGGATTTATGTATATTAGGTAAGTATCCGTATCATCAACTAATGACTGATCTAATATGCAGAAAGCTGTATTAAAATTTCATATTGTTTTTGTGCTTAAAGGTACACACAGCCACCTACAGATCTATGGGACTGGTTTGAATCCTTTCTTGATGATGAAGAGGTATGTCGGCGAGGGTAATAATTTGTTTTCTTTTGTTTCTTTTCATGTTACTACTTTAGGCTTAAACATTGATTGATAAGGTTTTCTGTAGTTTGAATGTTACAGTGTTATGTACTTGTTACCTTATTTCATTAATTAGTGCAGGAACCAGTTTGAGCTGTGACCTGGGTGTTTTCTTTTAGATTTTGAAGATCTAACAGATTTTTTTCATTGGTTAAGATGTTACTGTGTCAGATTTACAAAGCCATGTAGAACAGGTGTACTGAATCAGAATGCAGACAGCAGGCTGTGTGAATGTGTCTTCTGTGTGTTTTTTGAAATAGTTACTTTAGGTAAGGTGTAGGAAGTCATGAGTGCTAAATTTGTATTATCTATTTATTGCTGGGATAAGGGGAATTGATGCTTATGTAAGAGAGTGGGAACTATATGGTAGAAACCAACATGCACCTTGGAAAATAGTGCCAGAAATCTTTGTGGTTATTATTCATGTCCTGGAACAACTAAACCCAGGATTTCTTCAGAGGTGAAGCAAAAAGCCTGATTACTGCATAAGGTGGCGTTATTTCTGGAACATTAATGTGTTTGTTAATGGGGCAGATAAAGAGATGAGTTGCTAACTGAAGAAATTCAGTAAAGTTGTATTATTATGCAGTCAGATAGGAGAATACCTTTAGTAATCCTAATCCTGATTTACTGTTTAGAGAAACAGTTGGGAACTGGTGGGTGAGGTTCCTTGGTCTATGAAGTTGAATACACAGTCTGCTGCATGGTGCTGCAATTTGTATTTATTGAGCAGGTTTTAAATTACATTCTAAATTTAAGACTAGAACGAGAAGGATCACTTACCATCTTTGGTCTGACACTAGGCATCTACTTGAAGAAATTTCAAATGTTGTAGTTGCAAATGATGTCCAAATACTGTTATTAAAAATAGCATTAATTATACCTGTGTCTAACTGCAATGCAGTGTATTTATTTTAAATGTCTTCTTTCATGTTGAGTATCAAAAACACTGAGCAAAGGAAACGGCTGGTAATTTTAGTAGGTAAACCCATGCTAGAGTAGATTTTGAACAAAACATGAAACCAAATTGGACTCTTGCTTGAATCAGCGTAATGGCTTTCTCCCCAAGGTGGGGCTAGCTAATATGACTTCTCCTCTGCAATGCTGGATGGTAATTTATGAGAAGGATTGGGGTGGCTTCATTCTCAGGGTCCTACAAAGTCAATTTCAAGGACAGTAAAACAGTGACAAGTACAATGCATTGTGCAGGTCTTAACTGCACTCAAAGCACATTTCAGTTCTTGCTGATACTGGGTATCAAGATGTGTTTATTTCTTAAAATAATTACTTGTTTAAAATCTCCCACTATAATTTTGAATTTAGTGTTTATTTCCCAGCTGCTATCAGTAGCTTTGTGTTATGTAGAAAAATTGTTTGGGGCTGCTTAAGTTTCTTACCAGTCCTGGTCAAGCTCAATAGGATGAAGCAAATTTTTATATATGGAATTATTTAAACCTACAGGATTTTTTTTTCCCTCCAGTTCTTAAATATGTGGAAGCAGTTCATCTTTTGTCATGCTGCTGTGAAAACCTTCCCAGGACACAGAGTTACTTTTCAAAATGCTTCTTATGTTTATTTTGTTTAACTGTACGTACTCTCCAGGTGCTACGTTTAACTCCTCTTTTTCTTCTTTAGATCTCTGCAGCGATTATATTTGGAAAAACTGTATATCTGAACACTTAAATGTGTGTGAGTGCAAGCAGTTTTACGTTCAGATTTTCTCTTCCTGTTTAGATAACAAATCTCACTTTCCTTGTGTGCTTGCACTATAGGTTTGGGACTGACAATAGCTGACTAACATGTCCTGAGCTGTGAGAGGGCATAGCAAGAAGGCCTTCATGCGGTAATGACCCTTTTCAGAGACAATGGTCATCATGGATTATGCGTTTCCAATTATTTGTTCATTTATTTATTTTTTTACATATTTCTAAATTAGAAACCTCACTGCTTCATGGCAGTTGGTTTGCTATTGCTTCCAATTCTGTTAGGATGCCATTTTGTACTAGAGGTTTTTCTATGATCATTTTTAGATAGGCAATGATGTAGTTCATAAATTATTTAGGCCACAGGGTTGGGTATGATGGTACACAGTTGTACATCCACAAAATGAAGTGTTAAATGTAGTTTCAGAGGACTTCTCAACTTTGTGGTATTTAAATACAATGCAAGTTCATACCATATAACCAGACCGTGTAAGGGGATTTTGTGTTAATCTCTTCATCGACAGTCCCTTACCATCCAGATGGCTGCAGGATTAGTATGTGCCTGCATGCATATATATTAAGTCCCATTCCCTATCTGTAAAATTCTGCCAAATCAAAAGGGTGCAGAGTTTGAATTTCTCTAAGGAAATGTATTAGAATATGAGACAAGTAAACTTTCATAATCATGAGACTTCAATAGGACAGTAATGTAGCAGCATTTTTTTTTTTTTTAATCAGTAAAGAATATTTTTGACCATCAGGATATTTTTTGCTTGTATTTTGCAGGACCTGGATGTGAAGGCAGGCGGGGGTTGCGTTATGACCATAGGGGAGATGCTTCGTTCCTTCCTGACTAAGCTTGAATGGTTTTCCACGTTGTTTCCAAGAATTCCTGTGCCAGTCCAGAAAGCCATTGACCAGCAAATTAAAAGCAGACCTAGAAAAATCAAGAAAGATGGCAAGGAGGGGATGGAAGAAATAGACCGGCATGCAGAACGTAGACGTTCAAGGTCACATAAACATTATTTTAAAAATGAATGTTAAAAATTCAATATTGAACTACTTATTACCAGCAACGTGTTGTCTTTTCACTGCGATAGGTTTTAAGGCAAGAGCTTATGGATGCTATCGGATTAAATTAATCAGATGATATTTGGTATTTATGATTAAATACAAGCTCTGTATGTAAAGTATAAATTGAAAAGAGTATCTCTTAACTATTGAAGGAGGTGTTTCATATAGAATATCTTCTATTTTAAAAGGTCTCCAAGGCCAAGATCCATCAGTCCCAGGAGGTCACCCAGAAGATCCAGAAGCAGAAGCCACCATCGGGAAGGCCATGGGTCATCTAGTTTTGATAGAGAACTAGAAAGAGAACGAGAACGGCAGAGATTAGAACGTGAAGCAAAGGAGAGAGAAAAAGAAAGACGGAGATCTCGAAGTACCGATCGCTCACTAGAACGGAGGCGAAGCAGAAGCAGGGACAGATACAGAAGCCGGAGTCGAAGTCGTGACAGGAAAGGAGATAGAAGAGACAGGGATAGGGAACGAGAGAAAGAAAATGAACGGAGTCGGAAAAAAGAGAGAGATTATGATAAGGAAAGAGTTAGTGAGAGGGAAAAAGATCGATCTAGAGAAAGGTCAAAAGAAAGGAAAAGTAAGGGTGACACAGAGGAGAGAAGACACAAGGATGACAAAGATGAGAAAAAACACCGTGATGACAAGAGGGATTCCAAAAAAGAGAGAAAGCATAGTAGAAGTCGAAGCCGGGAAAGAAAGCATAGGAGTAGGAGCCGGAGCAGGAATACAGGTAAGCGCAGCAGAAGCAGGAGCAAAGAAAAATCAAGTAAACATAAAAATGAAAATAAAGAGAAGTCAAATAAACGAAGTAGAAGCAGAAGCAGAGGAAGAACAGATAGTGTTGAGAAATCAAGAAAACGAGATCAGAGTCCCAGCAAAGAAAAATCTAAGAAGCGTAGCAGAAGCAAAGAACGTTCCCACAAACATGATCACAGTGATAGCAAGGACCATTCTGACAAACATGATCGACGAAGGAGCCAAAGTACAGAACGAGAGAGCCAAGAAAAGCAACAGAAAAACAAAGATGAGACTGTGTGAATTCTTTCAGAAGTGGATCACATTGAATCCTATAAATGTTTGATTAAATCCTGCTTATTTTTTCTTAAAGTTGAGATTGTGCAGTAGTTGATGAGCACTCTTCTCCAACCTCCCTCTAGGCTGCAGATTGTCATTTCCTATTTTGGGTAGGGAAGTGCCTTTGTAAACCCATTCAATGCATTGACGGTTTCAAACCATTTGTTTAGTTTAATTTGTAATGCGGAGATTGTTCTTGCATTTTTATTGTTCAGATGTTTCTGAAATGTACAGTCTGTACATATGTCCTGAAAATGTTTTCATTCCTTTGGCATGGTTGCCATGTTGGTTAAATTTGTATGAGGCAATAAACTGCCACTAATTATACTTTCCTTTTGTAGACGTGGAATTATGGTTTGTATCCTGAAGTTAGCATGGCTGTGCTTTCCATAATAGTATGGCTTTTAGGGATGGATCTGGAATGTGTATTATAGCTGAGATATTTATGTGCGTACAATGTACATTGAGGGCTGCAGATTTAGAACTAACATTTATGTCCACTGTACCTGCTGTTTTGTCCAAAACTTTTAAAATGTATTATGTTGATCACCAGTGGTGTTAAATTGAGTGAACTTTCAGAGATAGTGCTTTTGATGCAAGGATTTAGATTATGTTGGAGCTTGTTTAGTAATTCTGTAGAAAGGCTACCTCAAGCGGACACTGTAAAGGTTGATGGATGAGTACCGTAGCCATCTATGCATTTTATTTGTTTGGAGAAAATCCATGTAGGCTTCCACTATTTTCTTCTTAAAAACACAATTTATCCATTTGTGGTCCTTTAATGTTTTTAAACAGCTGCACTCTGTCATTTCTGATAATCCTGGGCTAATAAAGGCATTTAAGATGGAAAGAGGGAGGTAGGAAGAAGAAAAATATTACAAAGGATTTCAGTTTCAAGCTTCCAAAGCATTTTTATAAGTGTAAACATTTAAAATAAGAATTAACTGATAGTGTCCTTTTTTAATTCATATTTTCTACAAATAGTAAAGATCACAGTTTGTGCTGAACATTTCATCTGGCAGATTTTTTTTTAAACAGGTTGTTAGAAGCAAAAACCAAAATGCATTATAGAAAAAGATGGTATCATTAAAGTCCAAGTCTATTTCATAGATTATTCTTGATGACTTGTATACTAAGTGAGGAGCACCATCTGGAATAAACTCTCAATTAATTCCTTTGTATTGAGTGTCAGCTTTTCCCTGCATGTTCATTGCCAGTTAAAGAGCGCTTCAGTTCCTCCACATTTTATTTTCAGATTAAATAACACTTTGTATGAATAAAGGATTTTATGTAATAAGTAACTTACAACTTAGATGTAGCAAATAAAAGAAAAGCCACAGCCCCAAATGGGAAGAATATGAAGTGGGAATCATGAAGTAACCTGAGGGTAGAAATAAAATATTTGTGCCTTTTTTTGCTTCTGTGTGATGCAGGTCATCTAGGCATATTTCATTTTAAATATCCAGGGAAAACAGTGTTTTGACTTCCAACAGTATACTTCATTCCATAGTGTTCCAAGAAGCAAATTTCTTTTCCTTCCTCCCTGCTCTTCCTGTTTTCTGAACTGTAATAGTCTTTATCACCATGATCCTTAGTAATCAACATTTTTTAGTACTTATCTTGTTAAGGTTGTCTGCTTATTTTTGTGTTACCTGATTTTAAATCTGAGTTTGAAACAAAACTTCAGCTTCAACAAATTCATTCCCTTGCAGCATAAAGCTATAATACTGAGCTTTCATTTGATATAGGAGAAGAAAAGAAATACCCTGTCTAGTGAGTTACTAGACCTGTCTCTGCAGTCTGCCAAGGGATTGCATGGATTCTGTCCAAACAGTGAGGACAACTTTAATTTATCTTGTTTGTGTCTAGAGGGCTGCTTTTGGCCGTGTTTTTAACCTTCAGTTTCTGAAACAAATACGTTCTGGGGCAGAGAGGCTGCAGAAACAGTGTTTTGTCAGGGGAAATGGATTACTGATTTCCAGTTGTTCCTTCAGGGCTCTTCCTCCTCTTCTGAGACTATTGGGCAATACGAAAGAGTGGTTTATTTGCAGGAAAAAATGCAGGTATTTGAGAGACAATCATTAACCTGAATGTGGACAAGTTACGTCTCACTACAACGATGGTGAACATTTTGATACAGCTTGTGCAAAGACTGTCCCATCCCAGTATCTTTTTACAAGTGCAGTAATTTCAGGACTGTGCTTTTATTTTCCTATTTATAAATAGTCCTTTTTGACCTCTGAATTTAATATCGATATTATGTACTTGAGTTAGCAGTGTGATGGACAGCACAATATTCACTGCCAACCAAGACCTGTGAAAATCATTTGAACCAAGACATCTGAAATTATCCTTGGGATTTACTATCATACAGCTCTTCAGTTTGTATCCAGGTTCTCTTAATTGTTTTTGTCTTTCTGATGCCATTTTATTTTGTGTGCCCTTCCTTAAAAAGCAGAAGGAACTGCAGGGCTGTGAAAGCAGCTCTGATGAGCAGGGGTGAGCTAGTGGAGACGCCAGTGCTGCCCACTCTGGTGCTGTTGTTGCAGTGCAGTACAGCTGTACTGGACATTCATCTTGGGGGCATTAGAAGAAAATTTCTGCCAATTTTATCTGGAGGAGCTGTGGTTGCAGAGTTGTTATCTCACAGTCTGTGCACTCACTGTTCAGTTCTCAGGGTAAATAACCATGACCGAAGCACTATGAACCTGAAGTTTCCATGGTATGCTACGTGTCCATAATAGCCTAACTGGGATAGCTATCCTTGTGAAGCCACATCTGTCTTGGAAATTTCCTGTGGCTCCAATGCTCAGTACTGGAATAATAGTATTAATAGCCTCCTACAGCATACAAGTTCCCCTCTTTAGGGAACCTGAAGGAATTTGATGAATTCTGCTGGCTTTAGATGTTTGGGCCCTTTGCCCCACTATGAAGCGCATGTAGCTTTAGTTATGGATGACCACCAGCTGTTAGGCAGGGTAAAACAGCATCTAAGTGCCACTCTTGATGTTTTGCAATGAGGTTGTCATTGTATCTATTTTCACCAGCAATAGTTAGATGTGGTAGAACACTAAATCTCAGTAAATTTGGGTCAAGTCTGAAATCAGCTGATGGGTAGGTTTTTGTCAGTTCCTTCAGTGGATTGAAAACCTATCTAAGGTTTGAGCTATTCTGTGTCAGATGCAATTAAAAACAATGTGTATTTTAAATAATATAGATACAGATTTTTTTGCAAGTGTTCATATTTGTGTAGTTTCAATAGATCTTTACTATTATGCACTGAATTTAAATTTTTTATTAAGTAAGCATTAATGAAGTCATCTGCTGTGAAATAACCTAGGTGGTAGTTCACATGATTTCACAGATACTGCTCAGAAAACATCCATTTTAGCATATCCATATGCTGCCTACCTCCAGGCCTTCAACAGGAATTTTCTTGGTTCTCAAGTCTTCTTTCAAGAGGTTGTGGGGTTGGGTTGCTTGGGGATTTTGGTAGAACTTTTGTTGGTTGGTTGGTTATTTGAATTGAATGAGGGTTTTTTGCTTCATGAAGTCCAAGCTTCATAGGAGTAAATAGTACAGAAACAGCATCTATAAATAAAGCATGGCATCTGATCGTCCTTTCCTGTGGTCTGAAGTCTGCATGACCCATAAAAGTGTGTTTACCTCAGTTTGGAGAGAACATGCAGCCAATCTTGACCAAATTTTTTAATCAGCTCAGTGATGCCAGTGCCATTTCACATAGTGGTGTTAACTATTAGACACTGTCTAATGGCTAAATAACAACACACTGAGGTTGCACACTGCCATAGTAGAAGGTGTGTATATGGCTCAGTTTCATTGTGTTGCTTTTCCTCCCTGTTTTGCTATATTTTTGTATACACCTGCTACACACTTTTTTAGAGCTGAATCAATGTTTTTTTTTCTTGAAATCATGACTCCTCTTCAGCTTTTTGCCTTTTTTTTCCCCAGCATACAAATAATACATTCTGATAAAATCACACTTCTTTTCAGTGACAAAAGGGAGAGGAGCTGATGAAAATAGTACTACAATGTTGTTTGTAGAGTGTAATTCAGGTGTTAAGGTCTGTGTGCCAGGGAGAATTAAGAAAACATACACCAACAGTTTAGAATGGCTTAAAGGACATTAGGGGTTACTATTAGAGCATGGAATTATCAGAATTGCTTAGGTGAAAAGAAGTAGTTTGGGGTTTGAATTTGGTTCCAAAAGAAACCATTTGTTTTAGATCTCTGAAAACGCAGTTAAACACACTGTGGTGACAGTGTTTGGTAATGATGTCTGCAAAGAAGAAATATTCAAATAAAACCCTCGAGGAAGAAGGCTGTTTAATTTTTTTTTTTTTATTAAGTGAGAAATAAAACCAACTTTCTATTAACTAATGCAGGGCAGTTTTAAATAATGTTTCCTAAAGAAAGACTTGTTTGATTGTGACTTTTAGTCAGATCGTGTTTTAAGAAGCAGCATATAATTCCTGGGCCCTCTACAAGCAATTTACTGAAGTGTGACATTCCCATGAGATTTTTCTCAAGTGATCAGAAGCATTGTCTGTGATACTTAACACCTAATGTGTTCTCTGAAGAAGGGCAATTTCCAGAATGGATTTTGTCTATTTTTATAAGCTGAAAATAGTGCTAAAAACCCTGTTGTCTTTGGATACCTTTATACACATGAACTTCTGAAGACTGTGTTAGATTACACATGTGTTTGTAGAACCATTGACCTTAAACTTTGCTTTCAAAGTCGGCTGAAATAGTAACCACTGTGGAGTATTGAGAGAAGGTCTTGCCTGGATTAGGTCTCAGATATGGCTAGGTCTTCAGCTATCCTCCCAGTCCTCAAGCAGCTGTGAATGTTGCAGTTAAGCACAGATGTGTCTTTCCAGCTTCAGGGATAAAAAGACTGAAAATAACATTTAGGGAGAATGGTGTTATGAACAACCTTAACATCCAGGATAGCAGCTGGTGAACAGCAGCAAAAATGAGATCAGCCTTAGGGGGAAAAAGTCAAAAGTGATTTCTTGCCATCCCTCTGAGACAGGAGCAGAAAATAGTACAGAACACCAGGAGAAAGTAAATGAGTGCTGAAGAATATTTTTATCTGTTTGGATTTTAAGGGCTTTTTTGGGGAGCTGTAGCATAGTAAAGTGAAGGCTTAGTGAAGTGAAAAAAGGTTGTTATAAATGGGGGAGAGGACAATCAGTAGTGCGAGCAGAAATAAGCGATTTCAGATGTAAATACGGATTTTAACAAACCACTTAGGTTTATGATATACAGGACTGGTGAGGCATTTTCCTCTTATCACAAAGATTTAATCAGCAGGAGAAGTTGGATTCATGCATTCTAATATGAATTGCAATTCTTAAATCTTACCTCCTTATCTGAACCAGAATTTCATCTACATGTGTTTTGCATTGCTCCTTCCTCTATAAATAACTAGAAAAGAATTTGGAAATTTCCAGTTATGGAAAAGCAACTGTCTTGAGAATTTTTTTTTTTTCAGTGGCTGCTTTTGAAGTGGTTTCTAGCAGTTTACATAGGCAAATAAAGCACTATCCTGCTGGAACCCAGAAGAAATACTGGTAGAATAGATTGAGTAAGCCACAATTTTTTTATTTTATTTTATTTTTTTTTTTACCTTTTTGAAAATAGCAGAAATGCCACCTAGCTTCATTTGTAATGGGATGTGGGAAGGCTATAAAAAGATACACCTGCCTTTTATTATGTGCTGTCAAATGAGTAGTAAGTGTTGTGACCAAGCATGATAGTATGCAGGCCACAATATAGATAAGGTTTTGGTTTTTTTAAAAAAATTATATATTATAAAAGTGGGGGAGGGGATGAGATAAACCTGCGTAACACTACCAGAAGCCTTGACTATCAAATCTATATGCTATATGCATCTTATTTGAAGATTATGCAAAAATACTTCATGAACTTCATGAATTTTTAATTAATGTACTGCTCTTACCCATTCCAACAGAGCTTCCAGAACAGGTGACTGAAATGACATGAAAGTAGTACAAGTGTTAGGTGTCAGGTTTCAAGCAGGAAAATTCTAGTCTGCAGTATGTACTCCGTCTATACTACTATGCAATCCCATCAGGTAGCAGTAGTTTTATAATGGATGAAATCCATGCTTTGGGAAAGGCAAAATAATTTCTTCCCCTTTAAACAATTTGTACTTTAAAAATGTGCTTAGGAGTGATTAATTGCAGTTATTGATTTGTTTCTTTATTTCAAAAATACATTTAAAATGCTCATTTATTTCTTCTATATTCTAACCATTCCTAACCTCCCAACTGAACAGTAGCTTTTCTGTATTCACCAGGATATGGGTGATCCAGCTAAGAGGCACCTGTGTAGATAAATGTGCCCAGACCCAAAATGCTGCTATGAAGTTCCCATCACAGATATTGCAAGACTACACTCATAAAGTGTACTCTGCAGTCAACACTAAAGCAGAAAAGTTCTATTCCGTGCCAACTTTACCCACATAACTTTGGATTACATTTTAGCCATCTAGCATGCATGGACCAAAAAAACCTAAATTATTCAAAGAAATTTAAATTCTACCTGAATATATTTTCTTGGGACAAAACGTGAGTTTCGGCCCCTTGTCAGTCACTGGAGCTACCACCACAGTGTAGACATCCCCACAAGGTATCTTGGTGATGTCACAGTGACTCAGACCTGAGCTGGGGGTACAGCTGAAATTGCCCTTTGAGCCATGTAAATTTGCATTGTAGTTTATTGTTTCATCAGAAGCTTGCCAGAACACCCTGATGCCATTGTTGCCGAGTCTATAGAGCTTCACCCCAGAAGGGCAGCAAGCACCTGAAAAAGTAAGAAACATTAATGAGAAAATTTTGTGAACTCACAATGTGTATTATAAATTTCTAGAGTGCAGTTTAAACCAGATTACTATGATTGTCAGCATTTCAAGGTGAAAATTATTATTTCACAAAGCCAAAATAATTCTTGAACTGAACTAGGAGAGAAAAGTTAGAGTCATTTTATGGAGCTGAAATTCAGTCATTGTTTTACACGTTGGAATATTGTTGCTCTCACCTGGCATAAGACCTACCTTAGAATGCCCAGAATCCTTTTGAAGTCTCTAAAATTTAATTATGCCATAGCATAATTTAAATTAAAAAACTGTTTCTGGAGCAATATTACTAGAACTTCTTTATATGGCCAACTGATGGCAGTCATAAGAACAGGTCTTGATTATATGAAAATAACCCGAAGTGCGTTTATTTAAAGAGGGAACTGCAGGTGTATTAGCTGTGTTGAATTTAAGCTGTTATTTTTATGAGAGGTACACCACACAAAAGATGTTGTGTATCGAGTGTTTTTCTTCCCAGTTGCATTTACACATTACGTACTAGAAGAATATCCCTGATAGGTGCAGCTGGATGTCAAACCAGTCTCAGTAATGGCTCTCAGAGACACTGTATAGTTGGTGCCACATGTGATACATCCCAGGAGACAGTAGGTCTGAAGTGTGTGACACTTTGCCTGTCCTTTTGGAGACTCCAGTATTGTTATATATGTCTGTGCACCCCTCCCAACAGACCAGCTGATATTGGTTACAGACTGTGTCACTTGAGTTAGTATCAGGTCATTAGGGCAACAAGGAGCTGAAATAGAACAAAAAACAGAGAAGTGAATTCTGTTTTGTACCTGGAAAATGGAAAGTATTTGGAGGGTTGCAGGTAGAATAGTACATGATCAAGAGTAAAGGAATGAAGAAGTGTGTACTTAAGCGTGCTGAAAAATATTTTACTCTGCTGGCAAGCCTCTAATAAACAGAATGTCAATATAAGAGGAGTTTGTCCCTAACTGTGGGTTAGAACCCTGGAATTATTAGAAAATGATTGTTCACCAAGATTCTAAAAATTACTAAGATTTTTCATCAGAATATCAGAATACATCTGATACATACTGTAGTTTAATTAAGCAGGGAGTGTCTCTACCCCTCAAGTCATATATCTCAGTCCAGTTCTGTCTCTGTTTAAAGTCTCTTCTTCTACAATGTAAAATGACTGCAGCCAAACTGCCTGTTAAATATAGACCCTGGTGCATATTAATCTCTGTACTGGGCCTGGGGATTGTCTGGAGAGGTGGTAGAGGACAAAACCTATTAGCAAATGAATAGCAGGAATAGTGGGTAGGATGTGCTTCAATCTGTTCTTTACACTGCTTATTTGTTGGCATGGACATTACCTCATTGCCTCTCCTGGTAATGCTAAATATCAAAATGCTGACAAGGAACTTGTGCATTACATTAGTAGCTTATGTTATTACATTTTAGTTAGCTGTGCCAGAAGATAATTGGTTGCACTAAGGCCTCAGTCTGAGGCAACTGCCAAAAGACCTTTCCTTGTCATACACACAAATATACAGACAGGTTTACGAAAAGGACATCCAGCAATACAGAGTACAATGTGCACATAATGTAAATAAAAAATAACCAAAACCATAGAGTCATAGAACTATTTTATTATTATACTGCTATGCTGAACTATATACAATTCCCCATACCTGTCTCTAAAGGGATACTGTAGCTTGGCAAGCTCTGTCCTGCTGGTGATCTTGCTATAGCACTTACAGAGAAAGCAGATCCACAGGGAAGATCCATTAGGGTACAGGAATTCCTGGTGCTTGTACAATGCCAAAGGCCAGCCTCTCCTCTGGCAGTGACAACATATGTAGCTTCTTCATTGTTAGGTTGCCATTGCACACTGATTACAGACAGACCCTCCTTTGAAATATTTTTTATTTCAGGACTGCAGGGAGCTGAAATATTTCATATTAGTAGTACTTAAAGAGATTGTTTATGCATATTAAATAAGTTACATGTGAAAATTAAATTCCAGTTAGAACTGACAAATTACTTTGGAAAATTATTTTTATATGCTTTACTCCTGGTGAGAATTTAGAAATTGTGACAGAACATAAAGATTACATAAGGATTTTGGGAATAAATTGTAATTCTAATTTTCAAAATACTGGAGCTATCAAAAGCTTTCAATACAAATTTGATGTAAGTTTCCTTCTTGTAGTGTATTCTTAAGAACTTAAAGTTTTGGAGCTGCTGGGTTTTTTGGGTTTTAAAAAAATTTTTATCATTAAACTCGGTAAAACAGTTAAATAGTTACTTAGCACTCCAGTAATGCTTTTCATCCATGAATCACTGGGGTGTATAATAATGATTTCTTCAGCTAAAGGAAAATGAGTGATCACACTACCTGTTGCCACGTACTGAGGTGCACACGAGGTGTTGCTGCCGCGGGCCTCGCTGAAGGAGAACACGGTGATGTTGTAGGGGGTGCTGCACTGCAGAGCCGACAGTGTGCAGGCCGTGGCTGTGTCCCTGCAGAGCAGCACACCGCTGCGGCTGGCTGCTCGGGTCTCGTACAGGTCAGCGCCTCGCACAGGAGCCCAGGTGACCCGCACCGTGTCGCTTGACATGAACACGGCCCTGAAGTCACTGGGGCAACAAGGAGCTGTGAACGGAAAAGGCAGACAGGGAAACCCGAATGCGAGTGGAAAAGTAGTGCAAATAAGAGCCTTATTTCATTTCTTTATGTCTTCTCCAAAGGTGACCAAAACTGTGCAAACAGTTTAATAAACCCCAGATTTACTTCTTAAATTAATTCGGTGCCACTCCTTCCAAATCAATAGAGGACATACTAGTGTTTAGGTCAGATACAGAATTACATATATCCTTGGTTTAAAATTTAAAAGTCTAGAGGTTAAATAACAGTGTTCTTCTCAATTTCCCATTGAACTTAATATTTTTTTTTAATTTTCAAAGTATGAAAACTCCCTATGAGGAAGTTGAAGACTTTGGTACACTCTTCCTGAGGTAAAACTAAAAAAAAAAACAAACCACCCAGACAGAACTAGAGTTCAAATGTTATGCCAGGTCTGTGTGTTATTCATATGTCCTTGCCTGATGATTGTGAATTGTTAAACTGTTTTCACATTTGTGTGCATGTCGTTGCACTTGACTATGCAAGTTAATTGTAATGTGAACTGTTTCTTTTTCTCTGCCGACCTTTGTGTGTTATACCCAAAACCTGAATAAAAATAGAAGTTTAAGTTGTTATGTTCCTATAAAAATGTCCAAACAGCTCTACCATACAGTTAAAAGATCCAAGTGAATTTGCAGGAATACATGATTACTTACTAGTAGTGTAATTGAATACATCACCTAAAGGACTCTGCCCAGCCTTGTTATATGCAAAGATACTAATGAAATAAGTGAAACCACAGTCTGACTGGAAATGGCATTGAGTATATGATGTGTTGCAGTGCACTTCCAAGCCATCATCACTCTTCACAAAGACCACATAATAATGACCCAAACTGACGCTAGACCATGAAACCAGCAAGTGATCAGGTTCATCCTCCTCAATTGATATGTTTACTGGTGCACAAGGAACTGGAAAAAAAAAAACATTAAAAAGAAAAAATTCTCAGTGCAATTATTTTTTTCTTTCTTGAAGTTATACTCTTGGGGAATAAAGGAAAATCTGGGACATATAGATTATTCTACTCAGCTTGAACAGTTGCTCTGTCATGATTGAGAGAACAGCAACTTAGCTGCCTTTACAGAGGTTATTGCTTATATTTAGACAACAAGTGGGTTTGATTTTTACAGAACAAAACAGATGCTACCATTTTTCTGTTTTACAGAAACATCTGCTTAAGGAGCCCTCTGAACAAAAACAGTGACACCAGACAATATTTTGAAAGGAACTGGCACAGTGTGTGCTCACAATTAGTAGGTTTGGATGATAATTTGAATACTAGCATGAATAGCAGTTGGCATCCAAAAGCCTCTATATGTGAAAATCCTTTATACTTTTGTATAAAGTTTACTGGCTGTGTCTGAGTAGAACTGTCCTTTACTTAGGTTTCTTTTCTGTTGGCATTCCAAAATGCCACATTAAACTGTGAACTCCATGGCTTTTGTTTAAGTAACATTTACTTTCTTTCTAGTTCAATAAAGTGCAGCTTGCTGCTATTTGAATATACATGATCTAGCTGAAGCAGTGTTGGCTGAGATTACAGCCCACAGCTTAAGAGTTGTCTCTTGCATAATGCTCTCTCATCCTGTTGGATGCACCACAGAATTGCTCATTCATCTAACTCCTATCAAAAGTCAAAATGAGGCAGGTTACATCAAATGACTAAGTAAATAATGTTGTGTATTTAAAGTAACATATAATAAAAAGGAATTGCTTAGATTTTGATTACATGGGCAGCTCATCTAACAGGTCAGGAAACAACAATCTCTGACATGGCAGTGGTGCTCAGTGGTGAACTGAGCAAGTTCTCTTGAATATGGTTGATGGTTTCTTAATTTAGTCTAGTGGTGTTACTTTGGCTGAATGTGCTTTTGTTGATCCCCTTTCTTACTAACAGCTTGGTGTGGCCCAGAACAGTTCTATGCTCAGAGGCAGTCCTTAATGCCATTTCCTCACAAATTTGTTCACAAGTTTTTGTCACAGAAATATGAAGAATATTTAGGCTCTTACCCCTGCAATAGAAAAGTATATGGCATAATTAATGGACAAAGTTCAAAAGCAGAAGTAATTGAGAATCATCTGTGAATTGCAATGAACTAATTTATATTTGAAATTAAAGAAGTAGACATTAAAATGCCATAAACTACATAAGAATCAGTGACACATACTAGTCTTTAAGCTCACTGCATCAGTAGGTTCACTGGATCCAGCATCATTGTATGCTGTGACAGACACATAATATTCAGAGCCGCACTGGAGGGATGGCACCATGCAAGAGGCAGAAGATGTGTTACACCTCAGTTTCAGGAGTCCACTGGAGACTGTGACACTGTAAGTTAGAGCTCCTTCTGATGGCATCCAAGAGACAACAGCTCTTAAAGCACCACTACTGAAAGCTACTTTAACATCCACTGGTGCGTTAGGACCTATGGTATATCAATTTGGAACACATAAATATAACTTAGATTATGGTCTACAGATATGATTTCTTTCACAACTTGCAAATTAAATGTTTGGGGTTTTTTTTGGGTGCAAACCTTACCCTCATTCATGTCAAAATGACATTTAAAAAAAGAAATAATTGTAGTTGGCCACTGCTGAAACTCCCTGCTTATTTATTTGCTTCTCACAATTAGAAAAATCCTCAAAATCAGTCTGAGCTTGTGTAATGTATCCAGACCTGTCCTCAGTACAACTTTAGTGACAGTAAATTGTATCATTGCATCAGTAATGTTCACTAAATATAGCCATGTTATCTGACCTTTCGTAAACTTTGAGATGGCGCAAAAACATGATCTGAAAATTTACTCAATGTATCTTTGAAAAACATAATACAATCGCACATACACATAAATACTTTCTGGTATATTGTTACTGTGTTGTTTTTGGAATGCTGACTTGGTTTCAGATTTCTTACTTGTACTTTGGTTATATGTGAAATCATCTCCAGGCATCCCATTGGCATTCCAGGCGTAAGCCCTGATAGTATAGAGAGTTCCTGGATCTAGATTTGTAAATATCAAGGAAGTATTGGTGGTGTTCTGCTTCAGCTTTCTGCCCAAACCATCTGACCTCATGAGTGACACAGAGAATCCAGCTGCCATATGCACAGCTTTCCAGCTCACTGCAATGGAGTCACAACTCGGAGAATGAACAGACAGAATTGGAGCAGCCAAGACTGTTGAGAAAGAACAAATTATGCTTTTGGTTTTTCAGTAGGCCAAACCTGAAATAAATATACAGAAAAAACAAACACAAACCCTGAGAGACAAATTCAGTGACAGAAAAAATAATTAATGCAAGAACAACAGAATAAATTTGGAAAATGATTTGGTGCATCAATTATTATATTGCATGTTTTGTGAAATGAACAAAAGTTGTACAGAAAGTGTGAAGGGCTGCATGTGTTGAAGAATGAAAATCACCAAGAAGACACTGCATTTCCTGTCCTCTATATTTTGCATTGTCTACTATTTTATACTTTTGGTTGTTTCTTCATTTCTTCTATTCCTTCAAGTTATGCCCTTTGTTTAAATCACATACATATATTCATACAAATTCTAGTGGAACTCCCAACTGAACTTTTAACTTACTGCACCATCATAAAGTAAACCATTAATTCAGACTTTTGTCCTGGTCAATAAGTCAGATGGCTGAATTCTAGTCCTCAAAAACTGAAAGAAGAATGATCAGTACAATTTAAAACAAAGATAATAATAATTCAGGATTCGTACATGCATGAATGCTTTATGTTATAATAACAACATTACAGAATTTTAAATAAGATTTTGAAAGTCCACCTGTTTTTACTTTTCTGAAAGGTGAAGGCTGGCTTTTTCCTCCCGAATTTATAGATCTGACTGTGATTCGGTACAAGGTGGCAGGCTTCAGTCCCGTCACTGTGCCTGGAGAATTTTTTACTATAGTTTCAACAAAGGAATCTCCATCTTGTGCAGTCAGCATGTAATTATTAGCCCCAGGTACTGCTCTCCATTCCACTGTGATACTGTTGCTAAGTTTTGAATAAGCTTGGTCAATAACAGGTGTATCTGGAGCTAAAGTGGAAATAATGATAGAGATAATGAAGTTGGAAAACACAGTCCCGTGGGATGCTGCATCTTCTGAACATTTCACAGAGACAAAATGTAGGACAAATAGTCTACACTTTCTATGAATGATTAAAATTTAAGTTAAATGGACTTTAAGTGAACATTAACAAAATACACAGAATCTTGTGATAGTCTAGAAAATTTCATCTTTCCATAAAAATACTCTCATACTCTGAAATCATTATTTTAAGACCATTATTTAAACTACATTGCACTGAGAGGTTCTCCCTTAAAACAAATTAACTATATTACTAACTTAAGCAATATATACAGAGAAAAAGTGCATGTTTATACAAAGCAGTCTGAAATAGGATGTTGAACCATAGGCATTTCTGTATCAAAGCAACACACAATCTAATCTGGAAGGCATCACAGGAACTCACCTAACCCCTTGATCAGAGCAGATATACTTAGGTATTCAATAACATGACAAATCAAATATTGTAACAATGCTTTGGTGTTATGCTCTGTCATTCAGAAAGAGTTCTTACAAAACTAACCATACACTGTATTTTTTAACCACGAGTAATTTATGTTCAGAAGTCAGGATTTTCATACTAAAATCAGCATTTATAAAGCAATTACATATATTGCAAGGCTGCGAAACACTCACTAGAAGAGAAAAAAGATAAAATGAAGGTACATCCCACATAAAATTAAGAAAAGGAATGTACAAGTATTTGGGACACAGTAGGTATCTTGAGGCAAACTCGTTCATAGCAAGGCAGTTCATGTGGGATTCGGGAGACCTGAGCAAGTATTATACACAGCTGCTCAGCTAAGTGCTAACATCTATCTGCTATATATTCTCTACTTGACTGTTAGGCAAGTCTTAGACCTGGATAAGGATTTCTTGCACAGAAATTTTTATGAATTGTTATCAAAGACAATATTTTAAAACAAACTAAAAAAATATGTAGTACACTATTTTGCTCCACAATTTGAAAGACTCAGCTGCAAATGTTCCATAGGCATGGTTAGACAGAATAGCTGGGACCATTTTTACAAATGGGGCAAAAGAGGGTGTCTGACTGTAACTGATAAGAAAGTGTTTGGGACTAAGAGCAGATGTTAATGCTTAGTTGAGTAGCTGTGTATTAAATTCTAAAACATTGGAAATACTTGTGCATAGGAGATTGTGCTTCTTCTGGTGTGTTTTGTTGTTTTGTTTTTGTTTGATTTTTGTTTATTTTTGAGGGAATGTGATGGAGTTTTCTTTTGATGTTTCATGTGTTGGGTTTTCTTAAATTATTAAAATATACAACAATTAATTGGTTTCAAATATGGGACAGTGTGAATCCCTTTTGTACCAGAGCTATGTAGTGAACAGCAGAATTTGTTCATCTGAGTGTTCCCCCTGGTTCACACTTGTACCAAGGTACAAGTCTGAATATTTGCATTAGTGTCCAACAGAATTGTGACCCCTAAAAATGAGATAAAAAATTTATAAAGACATCAATGTAATTTCTTAAGCCTAAATCAAACATGAAAAACAATTTTTGTTTATAAAGCTGCTAGAACTTACACAATATTTTATTAAAAATCACAAGTGGGTGTTCTCTTCAGACCCATTCAAAAATAGGCAGGCAAAACACAAAAAAAATTTTTGAATATTTACCTGTGTTTGCTGAAAATATCTGAAAAGGAAGATGTAACAAAATTAGAAAAATAATTTTATTTTATTACATATTTTATTACATATTTTATTTTGAAATTTAAAAATCTAAGAATGTTAGTAACAACAACCTAAAATACTATGTTTATGAACACATTTTATGCTATGATGTGTTTGCTAAGATTCTTTAAGCATGGAAAGAATGCACAACTAATGAGATTTGGTACAGGTATGCAGATTGTACTGCTTCTGCATTTTCCCCTCTGAACCTGCCTATTAATCCCGTTTGCAGTTGTTGATACACTTTGGAAGTATTTTTCAGTCATATGTAAACAATGCAACACTATCATAGTAACGAAATGCCAGTGTGGAAGCGGATGTCTGATAATGCTCCACCCTACCTTTTAATTTGTTTTTCCGAAGAATACAGTATCATCGCTAGAAGTAGCTTTACAGCAAGTCTCACTCACCATTTCCAGGCAGCCGAGAAGCACTCCAGTAAACGCCAGTGTTTTACTTTTTGCACTGCACATCTTGCCCGAGCTTCGTTCCAGCCTCACACGGGGGCGAGCTGGGGCCGATGGCCAGCGCTGTTTCCCAGCGGTGCTGTCACTGCAGGCGCACTCCCCGGGGGAGAGGAGGTCGCGCTGGGCTGGCCGCTCCTCCCTGCAGGACCACAGCTGGACAGCGGCCACCAAACCCTGGTGACACGGGCTTACCACAGCACTCGGCTTCTGGCCGCACGGCTGGTGGGGGGGTCTTCTCCCTTCTGCTATAGGGTGCAGATTCTGTATGGTTTATACAAGACTCATGAAATAATTAAGCTAAACGGAATTTGTTCTTCGGCTTATTGTCTATTGCCCACTGACAAGGATCTTCTTTTCTGTCGGGAACAATGCCATCATCGTACTCCTCTTTGAATGGCACACCGCCATAGAGACTGGGAACTAACTATTCTTCCTCATTCCTGGAGTTGCGGAAAGAGAAATTTTCCTCTCATTCCTTCATATTTGTTCCAGCTGCTGGCTCCCCTTTGACAACACGACTCTATGTCTTCAAACTGACAGGCGATTATAGGCGTCAACAGCCGCTATCGTTCTACGACCGGTCAGTGTTTTCCTTGGTGGATTACATGCATGCCAGCGGGAGCCTAGGGGCCGTTTTCGTGAGGGAGCCCCCGGTTTTCCCTCGAGGGGATCCGGGACTAGGGCAGGTTTCGGCAGCCACCCCGGCCGGGCGGTCTCCAGCTCCTCTGCTCCTCACAACTCGCCAGGGGCCGCCTTGGGGGTCGGGAGCGGCTCCCGCCGTCCCGGGCTCACCTCAGCAGCAGGAGGCTCCTTCCTCAGGGGGCGAGCCCTCCTCACCGGGCACTTCCCCAGTCGGAGTTTTGGACCCCATGGCGGCCGACGAAGAGGGCCGGCTCGTGGCGGGCTGGACCGGGCTCCTGAGGGGCTGATCCCGGCCGGCAGGAGCCGCCCCGCCCGGGATCGGGTTGCGCCCTCGGCCACCGCCCCTGAAGAGGGAGGGGAAGGCAGCGCTGCCAGGCGGGGCTGGCAGCAAGATGGCGCCGGCGGTGCGGGGTCTGAAAAGCTTCGTGTGGCAGAGTAAGTGACTGTGGGGCTCCTTCCCCGTCCCTGCGGCGG